AGAGATGGGGTTTCACTATGTTGCCCAGGCTGGTCTTGAACTCCTGGGCTCAAGTGATTTGCCCACGTTGGCCTCCCAAAGTGTTGGGATTACAGCTGTGAGCCACCACAACCAACCAAAAACAATTTAATGATTTATCATGATGTAGGTAACTTGAGTTTTTTAGCATTCATATTTACTGGAACGTAAGACATTCTGCTTGAATAAGGCAGAGGGATGCAAAGAGGTTTAGTTTCTTTAAACTTTTTTGTTTTTTAGAGACAGGTTTCACTTTGTTGCCCAGCCTGGAGTGCAGTGGCACAATCACAGCTCACTGCAACGTTGAACTCCTGGGCTCAGGTGATCCTCCTGCTTCAGCCTCCCAAGTAGCTGGGACTACAGGTGCACACCACCATGCTCAGCTATTTTGTAGAGATGAGGTCTTACTTTGTTCCTCAGGCAGGTCTCGAAATTTTTTTTTTTTTTTTTTGAGATGGAGTCTTTGTTGCCCAGGCTGGAGTGCAGTGGTATGATCTCGGCTCACTGCAACCTCTGCCTCCTGGGTTCAAGCAATTCTCCTGCCTCAGCCTCCCGAGTAGCTGGGACTACAGGCTTCCACCACCACGCCTGGCTAATTTTTGCATTTTTACTAAAGACAGGGTTTCACCATACTGGCCAGGCTGGTATTGAGCTCCTGACCTTGTGATCCAACCACCTCAGCCTCCCAAAGTGCTGTGATTACAGGCATGAGTCACCGTGCCTGGTCTGGTTTCGAACTCTTAGGCTCAAGCGATTTTCCTGCCTCGGTCTCTCAAAGCACTGGAGGATGCTATTTTTAGGAAAACCTATATACAAGGTTGGCCCTTGATTAACATCTCAGAACTAGATTTTGAGAGTGTTCTCACCTTTCCCCAACTCATAAGGATGGTTTATTCTGCCTAGTCTATGTAAACAATAAAGTTTATGCCAAACACCTGTTTTCCTTCTGGGAGTCTGAAATTTTGGTACCTGCTAGGCAGAGTGCCTACATGATCAGTCTCCAGTAAAAACCTTGGACCCTGAGTCTCTAATGGGTTTCTCTGGGCATAAACATTGTACATACTAACCTGGGCAACATGGCAAACTCCTGTTCCTACCAAAAAAAAAAAAAAAATTATCCGGGTGTGGTGGCATGCATCTGTAGTTCTAGCTACTTAGAAGGCAGAAGTAGGAGGACCACTTGAGCCTGGGAAGTTGAGGCTGCTAGTGAGCTGTGATTGAGCCACTGCACTCCAGGACCTGGACCATACAGCAAGACCTTCTCTCAAAAAAAACAAAAAACAAAACAAAACAAAAAAAACACTGTACATACGTTACTACATTTTTCGTTGCTGGAGAAAATGACATGCTTGGAGTATCCTCCCACAGGAAGGAGAACATAAGGAAACCTGTTCACAACTTTTTCCAGATTTCTACTAGTGTCTTTTCCCTTGGCTGATTCTATTCTGTGTCCTTTTACTAATAAACCTTATACACAATATGCCTTATATGCTTAGTCCTTCTAATGAATCTCTAAATATGGGGGCAGTCTTGGGGACTCCCAACGCATGGTTGTCAAATTTTTTTAAAGTAATGGGCCCCTTGATAATTTGATGAAATCTACAGATTAAGAAGCACATACACATTATTCTTCATGGCACAGTACACTCTGGGTTGGGAGAGACCAGTGAGCAGAGAGTGCATTTTGGGGTGTTACTACAATGGTTCAGGGGTCTGGTGATGGCAGTAAGAAAAACAGTGACATCCAAAAGATTAAAAAAAAAAAAAGAAAGAAATTGTAGTACAAATGGATTTGGATGAAAAAAAAGCAGGATGATTAAGTTTTCAAGCCCAGAAGAGTGAAATAATGATGGTACTACTGAACAGAGAAGAAAAAATGCTGATGAAAGGTTTTATGAAGATCATGTGTTAAATTTCTGATACTAGTGAGAAGTCTGTGGCAGTTTTCAAAAAATGGTTGTAAAATCTGACACTCCTCCCATTGAGAGTTGGAAATCTATGTTCATTCCCTGAATCTGGATGGGCTTGTAACCAACAGAATGTGGCACAAGTGATACTATATGATTTATCTCATAGTTATGAAAGCTGGGATTAAGGTGCCAGCACATTTGGTGTCTGGTGAGGGCCCACTTTCTGCTTCACAGATGGTGCCTTCTCACTATGTCATCACACGGAGGAAGGGGTGAGCTAGCTCTCTGGGGTGTCTTGTATAAGGGCACTAATCCCAATCATGAAGGCTCTGATTCCCAAAGGCCCTACCTCCTAATACCATCATCTTGGGGGTTAGGATTTCAACATACACATTTTTCAAGGACACAAACATTCAAACCACAGTAGCTGTGGTCTAATAAGACTTTATACAAACAGGCAGTAGGCCAGGTTTGGTCTGAGGACCATATATTGCCAATCTCTGGTATAGAGGAAAGAGCAAGGTCTTTGTAAGGAGATCTTGGTTCAAAAATCCTTACTCTGAGCCAGGCATGGTGGCTCACGCCTGTAATCCCAGCACTTTGGGAGGCTGAGGTGGGCGGATTACCTGAAGTCAGGAGTTTGAGACCAGCCTGGCCAATGTGGCGAAACCCCATCTTTCCTAAAAACACAAAAAGTAGCTGGGCGTGGTGGCGTGTGCCTGTAATCCCAGTTACTCAGGAGTCTGAGGCATGAGAATCACTTGAGTTCGGGAGGTGCAGGTTGCATTGAGCTGAGATTGTGCCACTGCACTCTATGACTCTGTGACGCAGAAAACAAACAAACAAACAACCTTTCTCTGCTACTTATGAGGTTGGACTAGTCTCAATTTCTTGGGCCCTCAACTTTCCTTATCCAAAAAAATAGAACAAACAATAATGACCTTGTAGGATAATTTTCTTTTCTTTTTTTTTTTTTTTTTTTTTGAGACGGAGTCTTGCTCTGTCACCCAGGTTGGAGTGCAGTGGCCGGATCTCAGCTCACTGCAAGCTCCGCCTCCCGGGTTCACGCCATTCTCCGGCCTCAGCCTCCCGAGTAGCTGGGACTACAGGCGCCCGCCACCTCGCCCGGCTAGTTTTTTGTATTTCTTAATAGAGACGGGGTTTCACTGTGTTAGCCAGGATGGTCTCAATCTCCTGACCTCGTGATCCGCCCGTCTCGGCCTCCCAAAGTGCTGGGATTACAGGCTTGAGCCACCGCGCCCGGCCAATTTTCAAGAATGAAAGATAATATAGTTAAAATGGGTGGCATGGAGTAGGCACTCAATTGTAGTATAATATTTTTCTGAGGTAAGGATTAAAAACAAATCATAAAATTGTCTATAAAGAGATGACTATTAATGCTATGAAGATAAAGTTTCTTAGAAAGTATATAATGCACAGGATTTAACCAGGGGGTACAAAAATTTTTGTTAAAAGAAGAAATTAGGGTAAAGGCAGAGTTCCAAGTAAAAGTACCTACTAAGATAAAGTAGAATGAAGAAAGTCAGAAGAGGATGGAATCTGAAGAAAGGAATCATCAGTAGTGGCAGTCTCAGGAGAAGGGCTTCCTTTTGTTTAAAAGCTAATCCCTCCACAGTGCTCCTGATAAAATCCAGTCCTGCTTCTTCCAGAATCCTGCCTGCTGTATCCATTAATTCTCTTTTTTTTTTTTGGGGATGGAGTCTCACTCTGTTGCCTAGGCTGGAGTGCAGCGGCACGATCTCGGCTCAATGCAACCTCTGCCTGCCAGGTTCAAGCGATTCTCTTGCCTCCACCTCCGAAGTAGCTGGGATTACAGACATGTGCCACCACGCCTGGCTAATTTTATATTTTTAGTAGAGACAAGGTTTCACCATGTTGCTCACGCTGGTCTCGAACTCCTGACCTCAAGTGATCTGCCTGTCTCGGCCTCCCAAAGTGCTGGGATTACAGGCGTGAGCCACTGCACCGGTCAACTGTCTTTTCATATATATACACACAAACAGTTGATTCTCATTATTTGCAGTAGTTAGATTTCATAAAGTTGCTTTGAGTATTGAACTGCTGCTCTTAGGGAAATGCAAAGTTATGTTTCTAACAGCCTCTGGTGACAACACTTTCATCAACTGATCAATGTATGACCTTGTTTTATGTGTGTTTCTGTTTAAAGACATCTAATTTAATCTTACTCTTGATTCGTTTACACCAAATTTAAGACCAAGAGCACTATAACTCATGCCTGACTAAAGTTTATCCAATACATTTTCTCTGTAAGACATATCACAGCCTTCTTTAGCTTGGGAATACCAGCCAGCACTTTAGCACTATGCTT